CGGCGCCGAGCACCTGCGGGCAGAGCTGCTGCAGGAGCGACTCCGGGGCCAGGAGCAGGCGCTGCGCTTTGAGCAGGAGCGCCGGACTTGGCAGGAGGAGAAGGAGCGAGTGTTGCGCTACCAGCGCGAGATCCAGGGGGGCTACATGGACATGTACCGCCGCAACCAGGCCCTGGAACAGGAGCTGCGGGCGCTGCGGGAGCCCCAGACTCCCTGGGGCCCTCGGCTGGAGTCCTCTAAGATCTAGGCCCAGAGCCAGCTGACAACAGACGTAGTCAGAAGATGCCTGGTGGTGAGGCGGCTGCCCCGCCCTGCCACTGGCCCAGTGAGGGGGTCCTGCAAGAGGAGGGCCGGGCCGAGTGCCGGCTGCAGGAGCCAGAAAAAGCCCTCCCGAAGAGGAGCACCCTGGCGAGGTCCAGGCTGCACCCTGGGGTGGGTGTGGCCTAGGAAGGAGGGTGGGGAGTCCAGGCCCCGGGATGCACAGGGGCAGGCCAGAGTGGAAGGAGGCCGAGAAGGGAGTGCCAGCCTCCTGCAGAATAAAATCGCGTTTAATATGAGACCCCTGGTGGTACGTTGGGCCTGCCCCTGCCTGAACCCCCAGGTTGTGATGGCTGCCGGCCGGCTGGCCGGCCACTGCCCCAGGCTGTGTGTGGCACCTCTCAAGGTCCCTGTTGCTCAGAGAGTGCCCTGCGCCTATGTGCAGCTCTCAGTCCTGTGTGCAGTAGAATGGAAGGGTCTTAGTCCTTGCCCCAGTACTGTACAGCTCCTTAGCTTCTGTGTGGGCTGGCTGAAATTTCCTTTTTGCAGCACCAGTGGAATTTTCAAAAGGAACACTACCGGAGAACTCCAGGAAAACAAAAGGGCAAATCCACCTTAGCATTTCAAAAATATGTGCTGTTCTTTGGTGGTGAATCTGCCCCGGGCGCCCAGGCCACAGCTGGGTTTGGGCCCAGCTAAGACAGCTTCCTCTGGCGTGCAAAGCTCCCACTCTGCAGCCACCTGAACCTTCCTGTGAGCGCCCCTCCCTCTCTAGGGGTAGGGTCTCGGAAGGGCCTGGAGTTGGCAGCCTTTGGGACAGAATCTTTACAAGAGCTGGGAAGGAGGCGTTTCCCTTGGCTCAAGCCTGGGAAGAAGCAGTCTCACTCCCTATGCCTGGCCTCAGAACTGTTAGCCCTATTTGACACCTATCTCTAAGGCTGGTCCACAGCCACCCTGACCTTAGTGGTCTGGCCTCCCCTTTGGGTTGCTCCCCTCCAGGGCTGGTGACCTGGTACAGGCGATGTCTCGTCCACCCGCTGAGAGAGCTGCTTCCCTTCCAGTGCGTCACTGAGATGGTTGCTGTGCATTGTGTGCCCAGCACTAACTGCATGGGAGCCTTGTGGATTGCAGCATGGGGTGAAATTCATATTCTTCCTGCCCTGCCATCCCTTCCCTGGTTGGGCCTCTGAGGGAATAGGGGTCCTGCGTAGCTTCCATTGGCTGTCCCTCGGTCTCCCTGTCCTACACAGCCCCCCTCAGGTCTGGCATGTGGGTCCTGGTTGTGGGTGTTACAGCGTGCATGGCCACTGTGGGCTGTGGTGGAGAAGCTGATGGCTTCCACCTTTTCTACGGTGGAGCGTGGGGCTCATAAGTTGTCTTGCTATGGGGATGCCGCTTATGGTCCTGTGAGTGGCAGGTGTGCTTGTGGTTGGTGGGTGTGTCTGAGGGAGGTGTGTATGGGGCACCTGGCCTCCCAAAGCCGGCGCCGGGTTGGAGGCCCGGAAGCTGATTCCTATCCCTCCCTCTCCCCATTCCTTCCCGCCAGTTCCAGTACCTCTGAACTTCAAGCCTGGGTGGGTCCTGGGCCCGGGGGAGACCTGTCCAGGCCCATACCTGAGCTGGGATCCTCCAGGCAGTACCTGGGTTGGGCAGGCCAGTTCCAGAAGACCTCGACACCTACCCTTTCCCATTTCCTAGACCCCTCCAAACTGGTCTCTGGACCCCTGGATCCTCAGGTGTTGACCTGAAGATTACTTCCTCCCCGTAAGCAGGAGCTGGTCAGGCGGGGTGCCCATATGCCCAAGCCTGCCCCCACCCCAGCCCAGCAGAACAGCTCCCCACCCAGCAATTAGGGAGCTGGGCCGGCCAGTGCCACCAGCGGGGAGTGGGTGGGCGGTACCAAAACTTGGCAGCCATGCCAGAAACCAAGGCCAGGCCCAGAAGTGCGGGGAGGGCACGGGGCGTCCCGGAGAACCAGATGTCTGTTTGTGCCAGGCAAACCAGTTCCCTGGTCCCCAAGCAGGCTGGGTAGCTCTGGAGTCCACATCACAGGTGTCTCTGTCACTGGATCCTATCGCTGTTGGGGCCACCATTTGGGAAGCTCTTCCCGCCCAAGCCTAGCAGGTCCTACGTAAGGCTCCACCTCCCCAGCGCACCTGCACCAGCTTCCCTTCCTTCTAGAGGTGCAGCCAGCCCTGCACAGTGCTACTGGCCCTTAACCCCTCCTGTCCAGTGTCACACCTTCCCTGTAGCTCGTGGGCGGCTTAGCCTGTCACTCGAGGCTCCAACTGTGGCCTCCAGGATCACTGACACCGGTCTCTTCCAACCTCAGCACCCCCTCATAGCCCTGTGTACCCTCATCCTACACAGGCCTGGCTGGAACCACAGATCACAGGGAAATATGGAGGGAAGGGCAGCGCACTGATGTGGAGCCATCTGGAGGGTAGGAGGGAGCAGTGAGTGCAACAGGTCCTGGACCTGGCCAGAGGAGGCAGATGTGTGCCTGCCTGGCCTGGGTCCTGGTGCCCTGTCCCTGAGGTGGGCAGCACTCAGCTTTTGCCTTGTCTTAGAAACCTCCTCCAGCTGCTCAGCTGTGTTGCAGCCCCATGTCTCCATCAGCTGCTGTAATTGTCCATTTGCCTCTCTGCTGGGCTGCAGGCATCGCCAGGCAGTGTGATAGCCTCTGCCTCCCTTCCCCAACCTGCCATGGCTCCAGCCCTATAAGGCACTGGGGGACAAAGAGGCAGGCATAGCCAGACCTCCTCTGAGGATGAGGAAGGCTTCATGACAGGGAAAACTGTGGCATGAGCCATTCATGGGCACCCTCATGCCAGATCTGTGTCCAGCACAGGGCCTGCAGAGCTCCTCGCTTTCTGTCCAGCAGGGGCACGATGTGGCCTCCCTCAGGTCAGAAACGGCCTCTGGTGAGGGAGCCAGGTGGCCAAGGCCCTGTGCCTGTGCACAGCCTTTCTCCAGAGAGGGTGCAGGCCCTGTGATGACCCAGGGACCGCTCACGGGATTAGGAAGTGAAAAAGGATGCCAGCAAAAGTAGGTGACGTTTCATAACAGGCGAGGCTCTGCGCTGTGGGAAAGAGAGGGAGAGCTGGCTCCCATGGTCCAGGCAGAGGGCAGAGGCCACGCTGGTCTTCGCTAAGGGTTAAGGGCTTTCCTTTCCCTAGGGAGCAGTGAGATGGCAGCATCTTGAGATGGGTCTAGACATGGACTAGGGAAGTATGGGGCAGGTTCCTGGCAGGGGTCCTGCCCAGACTTTGGGGGAGCAGCAAGGAGAGTGGATGGGAAGCAGAAAAAGGGAAGGTGAAAACCAGGGTCAATGCACACAACCCAACGTACACTTGGTGTCATACTCTTCTGTTACCAGCCTAAACGTGTGTGTGTGTGTGTGTGTGTGTGTGTGTGTGTGTGTGTGTGTGTGTGAGAGAGAGAGAGAGAGAGAGAGAGAGAGAGAGAGAGATGGTGGTACTAGGATAAAACTCTGGGAGTGCTGGGCTACATCCCCAGCTGTTTTTTGTTTTGTGTTGTGTTTTTTTGGTACTGGGAATCGAACTTAGGACATTCCACTTTTGAGGCAGGTGTCTGCCTGCACCACTGAGCTAAATCTGGGCCCCAGCTCTGTTTTTAAAGACAGGATCTCACTGAGTTCCACGAGCTGGCCTCAGGCCTGAGGTCCTCCTGTCTCAGCCTCCTGTGTAGCTGGGATTACAAGCATGTGTCACCATGCCCACTGATCTTGAACTTAGTAATTGTGTTCTAACAAGGTGCCTCACATTTTTATTTTGCTGTGCACCTGCAAATGAAATGCATAGTTCTAGACTGAACTACAGAATTGCAAGGAGAGGCAACAGGGAGAGGAGCCAGGGCACTGACTTGGAGCCACCAGGGCTTAAGTGGGGCCTGGGGCTGGCCAGGAAGGCAGTTGAGACCCTGAGGCTGGGCCGGGTGCTCCTCCATTCTGTAGAGGTGGCCTTGTCTGCATCACACACTGGAACCCACTTCCACCACTGCCAGGATGCTCCACCTTCTAGTTCTGCCTTCCAGGCTGTTGCTGAGAGGCAAGGAAGGCCACGTTTCCAAGAGGTCCCTTGACCCAGAAGGGCTCATCCTGGCTCTGCAAGAACTTTAAAATTTGTAGTGTTCCTTGTGTCTATTCTCCACCACCTGCCACACACAAACACTGCCTCTGGGGAGGGATTGTGGGGTGTCTAGCATGCTAGGCAAGCCCTCTACCACTGAGCTACATTCTTAGCCCCTGCTTCATAATTCACACAGGAAAACTCACCCTTTTTAGGATATGGTTTTGATAAATGTGAAGTTGTATGACAGGCCCTGTGATAGATACAGAAGTCACATCACTTCCGAAATTCCCTCATGCCCTCTGTAGCCACCCCTCCCCTCCTCCAGCCCGTGCAATCACTGACTAGTCTCTCAGTAACCTTAGGGGTTTTTTCCCTTTTTGTAAAAATTGTTTAATCCCACCTCTGTAATATGTAATGTTAGAACACACTACAAAATAGCAAAAGAAACTACATAGGAGATTGGTGGAAAAAAAATATCTACACTGCCATGGAAGGCATAGATTCCACTTTGTAGGGAAAAATGCCAGTGGAATAGTTAACAAGAAGTTAAGTACAAAATCCTAAGAGTAAATAAGTCGTATTTGCAGCAATCATTAAAAAAAACTGACACCGATGGGTTTTGTTTCGTTTTTCTTCTTCGCATGTATTGGGGCTTAAATTCAGGAACTTAACACCGAGCTACATCCTCAGCTTTTAAACTTTTGAGGTGGTTTTGCTAAGTTGCCCAGGCTGGACCCGAACTTATCATCTTCCTGCCTCAGCCTCCCAGTGTTTTCCTACTTTTGAATTTTAAGAATAAAATCCTAGGAAACTGGCAAAAAGTTCAATCAAGTATTACTGAATTAGAGCAGCTAATGAAGCAATCTGCTTTGCAATTCCCCCTCAAAAAACAAAAACACGGTCCCAGTGAGGAAGAACATCAACCCTGTGATACAACTCGGTGCAAAGTGCAAAGTACCCAGGCCCCATGCACGGACATCACACACCGGCCTGGGAGCCGGTGACAGGAGAAAGGCCAGGTGTGGACGGCCACGCGGATCCCCGGACAAGGCCGGCTTTGCGCTCTGCGCTCCGCCAGAAGTGGAAGCAATGCGGAAGCCTGGGGGCATTCTCAAAAGCTTGTGAGGTCCTGCCGGCCTCGCGGCCCCTGCGGCTCCTCGCCCCCGCCCTTCCTTCGGCTTGGGGCCGGGACCACCCAGGCTCGGGCA